GTCATTGTAGAAGTGTACTCTTAAATGACGCCAGTGCAGACAGCAAGGATACAATTTATGATTAAAAAAGGAAAGAAGCAATTTGACCTGCAAATGGGGTGAGAAYTTCAACCAAAACTTGGTGCTTGTGGTCAAMATAAAGCATWATTGGTAACAGCAACCTGTTCTGAGGAGCAAACAGTCAAAACGAGGAACACTGTTCCTGGATTTGGTACGGCRTGTTTTTGGGACAGTACACGATACYACAAGGGATAAGGGATTTTGATTTCTGAACATGGTTTTCTGTTACATGACTTTTAGCCCAAGTGAGATATAAGAGAAACGGACAGGTCCAGGAACACCATTCTTCATTGTGTTAGTGTGGGTTTTTGAGTTGGAGTTCAAACCAGAAATTCAAAAAGGAAGGAATTCAAATTTTTGTTTTGCRAAGTGAAACAGAAAAATTGTGTCAGAAGAATCAGTCAACCATAGGGTACTGCAGGTACAATTTGTCGCTATCAATAATAGGTAMATTTATTCAGTTGGACAGAAGATGTGATACTAAAATGGTACAGTACATACACAAAATTTGTGGATGGGGATGAACCAGTTACTAACATGATTATGTGCATGCGTACTAAATTGGAACAGTAGTATTGTACCAGACATACAGGGCCCTAGGAAATCTTACAAGAGCCGTGCCAGAAAATTTTGGTCCCTGAACTGATATTTGTACCCAGGCTACAGTATGGAAAATCTGTGGCGGGCAACAATGTGCGCCTAAGATTCTCTGGCATTCATGTCAGAAGATGAAACAAAACTTCACATGAAAACAATGCCATAAAATTGTAAGAAAACAAAAAGTTACTATTCATAGACACACATCATTGGTACATTACTAGAATGGTTAAGTTGTTTGACAAAAGATTGGATGAAAATATTTCAACAACATGAGAGGTGATGAGCCCATTGTATTTACAATGTTTCACCCCTAGTATGAATAATGATTGGTATGCATCCTTCTGTTTCAGTTTAAGTTGTAGGAGCTGACACATCCATGAGAGCATCAATACCACCAGTACTCAAGATGGTTACTCAGACAAACAACATAGATGGGTATCAAGAAGATGCAGTGATTGGGGCAATCCAAGAATGTACAAATCATCATTATCCAGTCATAGAAGATAAACTGGTACAGTACATTRAGGAAAGATTCTTTTAAGTACAYAAAGTTTCCCTTTGAAGATAATGTTGTACAAGCCATCATCACAGTAAACCTCAAAAGTATGCTTGGTACAGACCCTRTTCCTACAGACAARAAAATAGTCTGGAATTCAAGTACTTCAGAACAAGAATCTTAGGGGTGRTGGTGTCTCCTAAACAAACAGAATTCAAGCAAGAAAGGCGACACAGGGATMAACTGAGCACCATTTTCTCCACAACAAAGGAAACTTTTGCACTCCTGCTTTTGTAGAACAACTACCAGTTGTGGAATAATTCTGGAAGTGGAAAGAAAACCTGAAAATCATTCACAGACAACAGAATTGGTAGCAAAGAGAGCTGGAGCTACAAGGGATGTATGCTGTTTGGGAAGCTAATCAAGGAAGCAAAGAGCCAAGGATAATTCAATAGAGATTGAACAAGCACTAAGGGCAAAATTGGAAACAACCACAAAAACAGGCACCAAACTCCTCACAAGAAACCTGTGGTTTGCGAACATGTTCCAAGTRGTATAAGGGCCCAATATTTGCATACGAGCAGTGCAAAATACGCCCACAAATTTCATTCTATGGACACAGGAAAAAACCCACACCATAATATCACTTTGTGTGACGTACTACTAGCTACTAGTAGTGGTAGCTTTRCTATGTGACATACTAAAGGACTCATTCATTATTCTTCTTGCAGAAATATCTGCTGCTGTTGGGTGCCGCTGTTGCTGCTGTTTGCTGGCCTTTGACTCTTATGCTCTGGACCTTCTTGGTGGACAATTGGGTGGTGCTGCTAGTAGTATCATTACAACACAGGAGCCAATACTAGGCAAATATCCCCAAGCTTTTAGTAGTCTGCTGGTTGATGGYATCTCCAACTGCTTTCTCACCTTCTTCATTCTTACTCATACTAGTAGTACTAGTATTAGTAATACGATATTGGAGGAAAACTGGATACTAATAGAAATGAATACCATCATCATGGCAAACACTATTACTACTACTAGTAGTAGGAGCACCAAACATTGCAGTGTMTTGTTTGTTCATAATTTTCATGCAGGGAAGCAGGCAGCACTTCTTGTGCAAAATTTGAAGACACTTTTTATGCAGAAAACACTACGATGACAAAATGCTGCTACTAGTTTTTGAAACATTTGAAGCTAACAGTATTACTTCTAGTATTGTTTACTTCTAGTAATGTGATCACCAACCATTAGCCAAGAAGATACTTGTTTGGCCTTGAGACTTTGTCAATAAGTGGGGATTTCAGTAAGTGATGGCTTACTATGCATAAAATAACAATTGAAATTACTGTAATTGAGGCATTGGGAATGTCAATTTATCRTTCATCCAATTGTTAGAATTAATGTTCTGAATTTTCATTTAGSATTTTGAATGTAAGTATATCACTGTAGATCATAGTATTATCCACATTCCTCATTTGGTAGCATGCAAGGATCAAAAAACAATAATTTTGGTCTTGTTTCAGGGTTGATACCTAAGAAAAGGAAGAAGAGGACACCTCCCCTGCTAGCATTTGGAATGTTAMGTGGAATGGTAAGTTAACATTCAGAACATCAAATTCAAGCAAAACTGGYGCAGTACTCATTTTTACACAGGCCTGCACTATTAACAATCTTAATGTTAAATAAATATCCCCAATGCCTCAATTCATGTAATTGTTTTTTGTTATTTTATGCGTAGTATCAGTAATTCTTGGGCACRTAAAGACGGCAATCTACCTTCAACAGAAACCATAGCGTATATCATACAGTAGTTCTAATAATGATAGTATTGGCAGTGCCCATTGTAAAGTTGTGACCTCCTGTAGATTACATGCACTGACAATAATAAATTTTACATCTTCATTCTTAATTTACATACAGTACACATAAATTGCACACCGATGAAATTTCACCAGGTGTGCAACATATTTGAATTGTGTTGGCAGAAGGAACGCATTGTCGACTGCAAGCAGTAATTTGAGTGTATGTTCTTGATCTACGAATTCGTGCTCGTTGTGTTGACCACGCCGCTGACTTCAACGTGGCCTGAATTTAAYTGTGTTCCTTTCAAACAGAATTCTTGCCTGCAGCAGGGGCACAGGATGGGAAAGTCACAAATCAGGTCGAGGCATTCCTCGTCGGTTATGTTGGGRTTGTTGCGCCGACGCCGTTTTTGGGTCTTCCTTCCAAATGCAAGGTACCAGTTTATTATGCAATCACTATGATAGACATGACAGCAGTCGGGATTCGACGACCACGTGATTTGTTCGTCCTCTTCGAAGCGGCACAGACAAATAGCACATCCATTGGAAACTACGCGACGGTTGTTTGAATATAGCGCGTTGCCGCTAGTCGCTCCCTCYATCTCGTCGATTTCCTTCCCAACAGACTGTCCGGCAAGCGGAACGCAAACCGTTTGATTATTGTCGAATTCACATTCCAGGAGGTCCTCGGACGTCTCGGTATTAGATCGCTTCTGTCTCACCGGTATTTCCGGAACCACCTCACCATCGGTAGATGCCTTATTTTCATCGATCTTCGCCACACGAGCGGTGTCACCAGATTCGATCGAGGAAGACACCATAGTAGCATCGCACTGATTCTCAACGTCGTTTTCTGATTCCTCGGTTTCTTTACCGATCAAAGTTGTTTCATGCTCTAAGTTGTCTTCTGTGCTAGTGTCGCCAATGTCTTCTTTATCCTGGATATCCGAACTTTTCAGTGTCTGAAGCGGCGCAAACACAGTCCACAGATTTGGACGAAGCATCAAAAAGATRAGAGTCGTACAAAAGCAGAGAGCTGAGAAAACGCAACTATTCTGTACTCGGGCGCTGTAGGAAAGAATTTCACGGCCACCTTGCAGCTAGGCTGAAATCTACTCGCATGGCAACTCACCATTGTGTAGTCTTCCATTATGTACGAAAGATATTGGTGCCTGATTTCGTCTTCTTGCGTCTTCGTGATCTGGAAATGGCGCTGGGTGTTTTCGCGCTGCTGCCGCCTGGAATCCTGTTCCCGTGCTTCGATAAGGTTGAACTCCTCGGCGTCGAACTCCTCCTGGCTGATCCACCGTCGCTCCCGGATTCCCCGCGCRCACGCTTCTCTTCGGCGCTTCGAAGTGCAAAATGGAAGAATGATGAAGACAACCATGGTGGTAAACCATAGAAGCATCCACATCATGTTTTGGCGGAGATAGCTGAAGTTGCCTTCGTAGGATGGTGCATCCGTTGGTGCCAATGTGGCGGTGATCGACGACATTTTATCTCACTCCGAAGGGTTTAGTTTGTATCTGGAATTTTGGGTTTGCAGCCAGATGTATGTTCTATTGGCATAGAACGCAAAGTGGTCAATTCACCTTCATGCGATGCGGGTTGTGCAGCTGCTTTCTTTTAATTTTAACAGGTTTTGAAGGAAGCACTGAGTGTGCCACGGTGTGGTTGTAATTTACGGTACAACTTCGCGAACTACAGGGGTCCCGTGTCGTGTGGGGGGGGCAGTTCATTAAGTATGACTGTACWGTATTATTTTTTTTAATCTTGAGCGAAATCAATCCAAAAAAATAATAGTGGTACCGGTAGTAATACAACACGGTTGTGAAGGCAAACATCGTGCCGTACCGTACATCGTGGAACATCGTGGAAGAAAGTTAAATTAAATTACCTGGAGGAAGCTTGGTCGATTTTGGAACCATCATTAAAAAAATTATGGTACGTATACAAGGGTACCTGTACCGTAGACCGAACCTGGAATTCATTTCTGTGCAGAGTTCTATTACGGTACATTTATTTTTTATCTTGCGGCGACATTTTCAAGGCATGTTGTGAAAAGGTTGTTAGGAGACTCTACTATCGAACAGCAGGTAGAGCTCATAAAGGCAAGCCCCGTACTGGCAAGTTATTCGCAATTCCCGTCCAAATGCTAATAAACTTTTAGCTCATTTTTACATGTAAAACCCCATATTAACTGCCAATGAAAAAAAAAGTTAGGAAATTGTCAATCAACTTCTAAAAAATTCTGCCGTGGAGAATGGYTAAGGGGTGCACCAGGGTATTTTCAGAAACTGAACCTGTTGTTGTGCATCTTTTTTTTGCATGGAAACAACAAGACAAATAGTACTAGCAGCAGATAGCAGTAGTATGCGACGACCTCCGGGACAACACATTCGAGATAGGTCCATTCAGATTGCAAACAAGACTTCTTGGTCAAACCTGCAAAAGCTGCCTGTGGGTATTGGCAGGCGGTTCCAGCAAAAAGGTGTATGCTCTGGACACACTTGTCCATCTGGTGGGGTTGGAGCCAATCGGCCTTGGCCGCTTCTGTGCCAACAATGAAACTACTACTAGTGCTAGTAGTACTACCACCAATGTAGTAAAGGTGTCTGTTGTGGAAGTCAAAATTGAATTTCTGGAGGATGTTGCTGGATCTGGGGCGKTCAGCAGGGGGGCCAACAAAAATACTTTTTGTTGAAAGTAACCCCGTTCTGGGCCTAGCTGGAGGAGCAGCCGCATGGTGCCAGCAATTTCAGAAACTCTTCTACTATTCATGGCGGYGGTGTCAGCATACCATGGTTGGACCACATCCAGGAATGCAGCTCAAAGAGTTTTTGCAAGTGGAACCAGGGCCAGCCTGTAAAGGATCATCAAGAATGGATCTCCCTGGGTGATGTACTCACGTGAGAGCAAAACAGAACAGGGATACATGGATGATTTGCCCCTGAGAATCAGCTGGGCAGAATGGTGGTAACAATTGAAACAGAACTGGGCCCCTGCAGGCCAGAGATGGCATACGGTTCAAAAAAGTGGCTTTTGACTGAGTTCATTGAATCCATAATGGGAGTCTACAATGAGGGTGCCTTCTGGGTCATCTGGGTCAGGGGGACGAAGGGCATTCTATGGCAATTTGGTTTGGGTTGCTGTGGAATTGCCCCACCTTGGTGGTCTGTCTGGTGGTGGTATTGGGGTGACAGCCAGGCTGGGGCCCAGGTTTGTGCCTCCCTGRTGGTGTGGGTGACACGCACACATTGCTGTGCACAGCCAAACTGAAGTTTCCACATCTGTCAGTGGCGAGGGCACCTGCAATGTGGAGGATGCATTTTACGATGAGTTGGCAATAGATTTTACCAATCCCAACAAGTCAAACACTGGGCTACTTGTCCAGTACAAACAGGCAACATGCCAAGAAGGTGGGTAAGGCAGCCCATGGTGGATGGTGCTTGGCTAACCAGTTGGTCAGGTCCGCAATTTCTTTTCAGTGTGCCAAGATTTGTTGGATCTTGCAGAGGAGGATATTTGGACTTCAAAACTTCAAGAACTGGCCTTCCAGTCTTGGTACATTGGTCATCTGGATGTAAAACACCCCCACTGTCCTAACTGGTGACGTTTCTGCAGGCTGCTCTAATCCAACCTGAAAGAAGCTTGTCATTAAAGGCCTGAAAAGCTTGGTCATCCATMTTGGGGATGGTAGGTCCATCTCTGAGATGGGCCTGGGCAACGAGATCATCTATGAGAGGGCTGTAGTGACCAACATAACAATAGATGATCTGATGATCCATGAGGCTTTAGATGTCACTTGCCTGTTTCACACTGTGTGCCTCCTGAAAAATAACTGCCACAAACACTAGGGGACACTTGGGGGTGGAGAATCTGGATACCTTGGTATTTTGGCACAGCGTGGAGGAAGAGCAGTCCTTGCCACTCTTTCTGCATTTCTTGCCTGAAATTCTTCCACAGTCCTGTTTTCAGCTTCTTAATGATTAGGGCCTCATTCCTCCTCTGCCATTGCTGTTGTTGTCCTTAGCGCCAAGCTTGGGCCCTTAGATCCAATTGCCTTGGAAGTGTGAATCAAGCCTCCAAATGAGCCTTGTGTGAAGGAGCCTCAGAATGCACCCCCAAACACCTTGGAGGGATGGATCAAGCCTCTGAATGAGTCTCAGTGTGAGTCTCTGAATGAGGTGCCGGGCAAGGCGTTGAAGCAGCATTTGCTGCATTGTTCACTGCAGGCAAAGAAGCCACTKAATGAGCCTCCAAATGAGGCACCAGGCAAGCTTCTGCTCTTGTTAAAGAACCAAAACGCACTTCCAAATGAGCCTCCAAATAAACCTGTGTGGGACAGGGTGTGAAGCTGGAAGATAATGTTGTGCCAGAAGAAAAAAAAGGAACTGAGTGCATTCTTGTCATCAGCGAATGAGTCCAAACATGGAAGATCTGTATCATCAATTTGAGGACTTGGCTGCATTCTATATTTGGAATACAATCAAGGTTTCAGTGTATGTTTCTGTTGGTGATGATGAAAGGAGGCAAGGAGTATTGTATAGGTGTGGCCACATTTTTCTGACTGAAATAATCATACATTCTTTAATTTAAGATAACCAAACACATATATCAATCTATACTTCTCAGACCGCCTACTCCCCCACGGCGTTAGAAAGCTCTTTTGATTCTCTTTTTAACCATGTGCTTCTTGTCTTTATGCGTCTGTTGGGGACCAAGATACAGCTGTTCAAGTGAGTTGACTGTCACTTAATGCCCTACGTAATTTTTGCACTGTGTGTCAATTTTGGGCCATCTAATTACCGTGTAATGACTTGTGGGATTAAAATTTGACTTGTACTAGGCCTACAGAATGCATGTGCAAGCAAAACTATTTTGCACATGCACAAAACTATTTGGTCGCACAAATGTGGGATTCAAAAATTCAAGTAGTACATGCAATTTTTAGTCAAAGAAGTCATTACACGGAAAAATAAGGGCCCAAAATGTATGATTTTATCGTAGATCTGCTGGCCAACTCTATACCATACTACTAGCAAAGATATCAGCAGATCGTAATCCAGGGCAGTTGCCTCAGTGCAAAGATAACTTTCAATTCCAAAGCATGATTGACCATGTGCATGTACAATTCTACCCCCAACAGTGGTAGCAAGAAACCACCCAAAAGACTTGRAGCCACTTTTGCCATACCATTTGAGCCCATTAGAAGACTTGCCTCTGAAGCAAATGCAGCCAATGTTGATGGAGTGTGGTGGGCAGAGATTSACAGTCTTTGGGAAAGGGCCATGTACTGGTTGGATCATRTTGAAAACCTTCAGTCTTGGTTGCCCAAGTGAGGATGGGGACATGGATACCAGCAGGGGGATATTTGCCAGGAAATGATGTTGCTTGTGGTGGTCCAATGTTAGTAGAAACAAGGAGATGGRACAGCCAAATTCTGTTGCTTGATGAAGTCCAAATGCAATTGTTGTTAGACAGATAACAAGTATTCTACACACTATGACACCAATAGTGTGGAGTACTCTGGGGAGCAGCATGTCAGATGGAGGATCAAGATTGTAGTTGAAATCATACTAGTACATGAGATGAAAAGCACACTTTAGAAGTTCTTGTTTCCCTTCAGAGCATCAGAGAAGATCATGTCAGAGTTGAGCACCAGAACAAAGTCACTCCACCAAGAGATCATCAMGAGAGACAAATTTCCCAAAAGAATAGTACTACTCAAATGTTCATTAATTATTATTATTGGTCATTCCAAAATTTAAGAGAGCCCAATTGATCCCATGACTTGCTGGATATTCAGTTATTGTGATTGGTCATTCMAAGACTAAAGAAACCCAAGAAGAGACTGAGCCTAATCATGATTCCGACACCTTGGGTATGAGTCACAAGGAGAGAGCAGCACAAGCTGAGCTGTTCAATGTAATCACACAGAGCCAGAMRGAAGCCTTTGTTTGGGACAATGCTGTGKAGTCTCATTATACTGGCTTMTTTCATTGGAAGAATGGAACTATTGCTGACAACAGTATTAACTGCCCCTAGGTTCCAGAAGGATATCAAAGAAAGGAACCCAAGATTGTAAAAGGAGAACCAGCAGATTGGGGGGATGTTGATAACCCTGGTGRCTGGCATCCTTATTACTTCAGACCCAAATTTGAGATAGGAAGTGGGAAGTACAAAGACCTCTATATTCCTTCTGAATGCAAGGCTGTTCAAGTTCCTAAATGCTTAGCTGGTCTTAGCAAGGAATCTATCAAGGAGCATAAGGAAACTGGATGGAAGTTCCACTATATTGGATGGGATAGTTCAGTTGAAGATCCTAAGAATCAGTATGCAAGGAAGTATGCTACAAGAAGGGATGATATGTTCCCAGCAGWGAGGAAGGGAAAACTGGATATCTTCAAGCTCCAGCATCATGGGCTTATGAAAGTGAGGATTGAAAATGGAGATGTTTTCTTCTTCTACCAATTGCTGTTTCCAATTGTTCCTGACTCACAAGAAGCACAGCACTATCATATTGAACCAGAGAAGCCCAATGGYGGTAGAGTTACTTATAAGT